TGATTTCTTTGTTATTGTTGTTGTTATGAGGTTGTTTGTGATGGTGTATGATATATAGTGTTTTAGAAAGGACTTTTCTCTTTACTTTAATTTATTCATCTTGCTGTATGACCGTTTGACGTTCAAAAAGGAAAAAAAAATCCACCTCCTTGATACAGGATAACGAACCTAAATGAACTTAAACCCCTAACAATAAAAAAAGAAAAAAAAAAAAGAAAAAGAAAGAAAAATATATACAATTACACTTCTCCAACGTACAATAACTAAACCAAATACACCAACTCACACTTTCCATTTCAAAACGCGCGAAAACCGAAAAGAAGGTGAGGCACTGTTATCCACTGGTCCGTGACGTCATATCCAGGGGCATGTCGGCGCCACGTTTACAGTGTGACGACTTGGAAGGGAGGGAGAGGGAGGGAGGAAGAGGGGAGGGAAAGGGAGGAAGGAGGAAGAGGGAGGGGAAGGGAGGAGGAGGAGGAGGGGAGGGGAAGGGAGGAAGGAGGGGAGGGAGGATAGAGGGGGAGGGAGGAGGGGAGGAAGAAGGGAGGGATGGAGGGAAGGGAGAAGAAGGGAGGGGAGGGGAAGGGAGGGGAATAGGGGGAGAGAGGAAGGAGGGATGGGTGGGGAAGGAGGAGGAAAACAGGAGAAAAGATAGGAGGGATGGGTAGGGGGTAGAGGGGGGAGAGGATGGGAAGGAGAGAGGAAAAGCGAGGAGGAAAGGTATGGGTGAGGGAGGGAAGGAGAAGAAGAAGAGAGAGGGATAACAATGGAGAAGGAAGAGGGGAGAAGGGAGGAGATAGTAAGGAGAGGGTGAGAGGGATGGGAGGAAGAAAGGAGGAGATAGGAGGAAGAGGGGGAAAGAGTGGAGGGGGAGAGGGGGGGAGGGGAAGAAAAGAAAAGAAGGAAGGGGAGAGAAGGAGAGGAGTAAAAATGAAAAATGACATGGAAAGAAGGGAATGAGGAAAAGAGGAAGGAAAGTAGGGGAATAATTGGAAGGAAAGAAAAAAGAGAAAGAGGGAAGAGGAAGGAAAAAAGAGAGGAGGGGTGGGGAATGAGAGGAAATGGAGAGGGAAAAAGAAAAAAATGGAAGGAAGAGAAAGAAGGGGCATAGAGTGGGGAAGAGAAAGAGAGGGAGAGAAGGTGAAAGTAGAGGAAATAAGGGAGGCGGGAATTAGAAGGAGGGAGGGGGGGGAGGGAGAAAGCAAAATTTCGGCTTTTTCGCCATAGTGTGACATTTAAGAAGGAGGTGTGAGGGAGAGTAAAAGTGGAGTAAATAGAGAGATGAGAGAGAGAGAGAGAGTAGGAGAGAGAGAGAGAGAGAGAGAGAGAGAGAGAGAGAGAGAGGAGGGAGGGAGGAGGAGAGAGGAGAGAAGGAGAAAAGGAGAGAGAGAGAGAGAGAGAGAGAGAGGAGAGGAGAGAGAGAGAGAGAGGAGAGAGAGAGAGAGAGAGAGAGAGAGAGAGAGAGAGAGAGAGAGAGAGAGAGAGAGGAAAGAGAGAGGAGAGGAGAAGAGGAGAGGAGAGGAGAGAGGAGAGGGAGAGGAGAGGAGAGGAGAGGAGGAGAGGAGAGGAGAGGAGAGGAGATAACAGAACAGAATAG